TTAGGCGAAATCGGCAATATCGTCGTGTTGCTGACTAATCGAGCGCTGCGTGTTTTCAGCGATGCGCTTGCGTGCGCGCGTAATCATGCACTTTCCTTTCAAGTGCATGTTCATCTGTGGATGTTAGTTCCGTACATTATATCTGTAATATTTACTTGAAAACCGCCTAAACTTATACCCCCTTATTGATATAAAGTTACACCTAGGCTGAACTCTGGATTAAAATGACATTTCCAAACTAAATGACAACTTAAGCCAGAGTTCAACTAGGGTGTAACTTTTATAAATAAGGCCCATAGTCTTCAAGTAGTTCACCATTGCAGTTTAAAAACCTTAACCAAAAATAATGCTTTTTGTTTACACCCAGAAAATATTTACTTAAGGTTATAGACAAACCAAGTAGGGACAGGCCTTATAACCAATTTCAGTTTAGTATCATTTCTTTGAAGTCAAAGACAGATGGACGTAAGTATTTACTGAAACCATACTGGTGCCCTACGGAATCCTAAAAATTTGTAACTCTCTTCGTATTCAGAGTCTGCCTTATTCCACTGCTAGTCTAACCGCTACCAATCATATTCACTCTGTTAGATCGTCGACTTTATCAACTAACTGTTCAGCCATTTTGTCTTCGTTGTCTCTACATCGTGCTGGAAAAGTTTGTGCTTGAATTGTGCTTTAGTCTCTCTAGAACTCGAAAATGGGTAGAACGATTTGACTTATTTTGGTTTTGAAATGAGTGCCATAGTCCAGGGTAGATTTAAACGGTAAGAAAACATACGAAAATTACGATTTCTACCCGTAAATGGTCGCGGGCACAGCTTTTTAAGACAGTATCCTTTTGGCGCCATTAAAACGAAACGCTTTATTTACTCCATGGTATTTTGCCATCACATGTCACACTGGAAACCGGTAAAACCTTGCGTGCAAACGCAATGCTACCGTATGTTTGCGAAAGCCATGAATGACAAGAACCAATGGTTACCTGGGTACAGTCAGGTACTGAATGACACACTGATGTCATATACTTTATGTGAAGCCAATAAGGTTGAGTATTCAATAATAATGTGTATCTACTGTCCAGTGGACTGTACTCTCATTATGCTCTCAAGGATGCTCTGATTCTAAGAGGCAGGCATGAAGCCTATATTATTACTACGGATATCAGTCAACTAAGTAATCTAGAGAAATTATATTGACGGATGTACGTAAACCATCTGATTCAGCCGGCTGAAGAGCGTAACGAATAGGTTGGTAATATTAACACGCCGACTTTATGTCTTATAACGATATGTTTATGTTTTTTCTTTTTATGTGTTTCAATTTACTAATATGCCTATAAAATACAGTTATAACATACGTAAAAAAAAGAAGTGGTTATCAATTCCTAGGAGGTAATAAAAATGCCTACCACCTAAAAATTTGACACAGGATTTTGATTATAGACTTGGACAAAAGCAGTAAAGTTGCGAGGTTTAACGTGACTTGATGCTCAATGATTTTTCTAGTGGGAATGTTTGAAAAGGAAAATCTTTTAACCAACTTTAAAATATCATAGCATCTTTCAACTGGTAACTTAAATTTAACGTTTTGTACTTAATGACATTCATAAACGACTTTCATAAATACGGGACTATTCCTACCTCTCGTTCCCACCGCTGCAACTCCTGTGTAGCCAGGATCTACAGCTTGACCGCCAATAAGAACCCAACCAGTGATGGTCAAGTTTGTCCCTATCTATCTATTATAAATGCTACGCACTTTTATATGCTGTATTGCTGTATGCCCTAAGTTCCATTATTGATAGCTATTATGTAATTTATATGGACGCCCCCGTACCAAGTGCTGACAGCGATTCGGTGAAACAATGGTCGTGGCCTGACAGACGACAAGCTTTGAGTGATGGAGGTTGCTGGTTAACACGAAAGAGGCAATTAGATGTGTAGGTCAGGTTTCTTGGTATAGGGTCAGCACCATTTTGAACGGGGTACCTACCAAGAATTGTCCAAAACGAAATTTAAATAAAAAAATGAGGATTATTATAATATGATTTCTTTTTCGCATTTGTACCTAATTGACATTTTCTTCTTTAACAAAGCTCTAATTAATGATCTACAAAATGTACTACATACTTCTCTCGATCGTTGTTTATTTCATTAAATTGAGAATTTAAAAAATAAATACGTAATATTCATGTGTATGGCTTGGTACTTTAGATATGAATGCATAATATGATAAAATGATTCCTAAAAGGAGACCACACAAGTCGTTTCTATAAAATTCCCATCAAGAAATAACTACGGCAATAAAATTGTTATGTTAGAATCAGGATATTGAAATGTGTATTGAATATACTTAATCTGATCATCCATGATTCAACTTGTTTGTGTGTAATTTTACCCCTGAGTGAGTTTCTTTGAATAACATAATCACAAATTGATATAATACCCGTGAACATAATATATTATAGTTTAATTTAAATGTTTAAGACCTATTATCATACTTGATAAGTTCTGGTGTAGATAAAACATTACATACAATCATGGGAATAATATAAGTTGGCTTCGAGCTTCATGCTTTCTTGAGAAGATTCGATAGTTAATTATTCCTATAAGAATTGTTTTTGTAGACGAGCAGGCAAATATTTTGATTGGTAGCCTGATATTTCAACCCGTGTACTTTTAAATGATTTGATGAAATATGAATAATTTAAAGAAGTCCTGTTTTTCTCAGCCCTACTCGTTACAAAGTGTAGGAGACGTAATTTATTGTTGGGCCCAACATGGTCCACGTCCCACGTCTAAAGGCGTTGGGCCAACGTTTGGAGGATGAATGGCAAACCTATTATTTATCGACGCACATTAATTGTGATGTCCAATTACTAATATACAGATCGTAAATCGTCGAATTGACTTACCACAATGCATATGATTTATAGTTATAATTACTTTTCCTACTTGATATTAATTGCCATTTAAATGCATAATTACCGAGCACGATAGTAATTATGAGTAATTATTGCAGACTGTACCCGTTAGGTTGGACACATTTGTTGGTATTACTTAGGGAAACAGACGACCAATGAGCATTGAGCAAGTATTAATTTTATCTAATGATACGACTAATAGGTTTAATTAAAGAGGTGCTTCGCAGTTTCTTTGGTACTATCTCTAGATAAATTGTGAAAATCTTATTACCGCGTCCGTTCGGGCTGCAAGGAAACATTTAAAGATGTAACAGCTATTTTCCGTTTATTAGCAAATGCTAAGGAGAGCTTTATGTTATATTTTATGGAGGAAATATGAAAGGAAATGCCTTTTCTGTGAATCTTAGTAAAATTAACAATATACGAGTACATAAAGGTCATTTGAGTAAAATTTCCGGCATTTAAGTAGTCTAGTTTCCTTCTATTTTCTAATCTATTTATTAAGTAGAGATTGTTATCGTTATAATATTGCAAACTGTTGATAATAAGGGGGCAGACGTACTTGTTGATGGCGTAGGTTTACAATGGTAAGAGACTACCATCCATTGACTGAAAGAATTGCGATGCGTTACCTAGCTTTTTGAAGATATATAATTCAGTTGGAAGTTTTTACTTAATGAAGCAGGTTATGTAAACTGTTTACCATTTTCTGCTGGAAATAAAATCTTCTAAAAACGAATATTTATAAACATGGCTGCAATGTCAATGACATCCAACAAACTTGGCAGTGACATTGGCCGTTCATTTTCGCTTGTGAAAGCAAATTGCTGCGTAAGCGCACAAACTAGTTTAGTTATTTATTCACATATTTTCACTTATGTAAATGCCGCACGCTCCTCAGCCCCCGTGAACTATGTATTTCCGTTTGTAAATTGCGAATTATGTACTTGGAAAAGTCTTAGGGGAGAGTTCGGTATATTGTACCGCCGGGTAAATTGTACCACCCTCATATTTCGTAAAGTATTTATTGAATGTCTGTAATTGCAACACTCAGCGATACACAACTAAAATCAATTAATATCGGCCATGTGGTTTTTGCCGTGACAACAAACACGTGTGTTTTATTTTGAAAAGTATTTTTTCATTGTTTTCAAGTAACTTTTGACAATACATGTTCAGATTGTAATTTTGTTAAATTTAATCACAGGGTGTTTCTAATATATTATTTAGAAGCGTAAATTAGTGTGGATTACAATTATTTGAAACATTTTTCGGTATTTATAAGCTATATTTTTTACCGATTTTTTAAAAGCACTATCACCTAGTCGGCTAAATTGTACCACATCAAATTGTATGGAACTTTACCAAAGGATTTTGAATTTTTTTTTAGTAAATCATATTTTGAAGTTATAATAGCGTAGTTATGTTTGACTAACAATAAATGAAAGCAGAAGACTGGCAAAGTAGATTAGGTACAAGTGTGCGTTACGATAATTGGAATTACAAAACTTGTACTCAAAATCGTGATAACGTGTAAAACAATATCGATTGTCTATGTTATTAACTACTGTTTCTCTTCGTTTCCTAATTTGTTAAGAATGTATCGTATAATATTTTGCCATAGTTTTTTTAAAGGCTTGAAATTTATTGAAATCCAATTTAGTAACCCTGTGGTACAAATTATCGAACCGGTTGGCCAAATTGGACCGAAGCTCTGATTTCGTACTTTGTTGATTTCTGCTAAATATACAACAATCATGTTAATTAATACTTATGAAATAGTAAGTTGAATAATGTATCTTTTATTATATACCATGGACATTAGCAAAAACAAAAGAAAACTATGGGTAAAATGGGATTGAAAAAAACTGGTCAAAATTAGCGGACTCTCCCTTATGAACTTTTGTGTAAGCTTTTTATGTAAGAAAGGAATGAAGATATTTTTTTAATGGGTCTATTGTGTTTTTTAATTAGTTTTGATACTCTAATGATATTGATGACTTACTATTCAGACTGCATAATTGTTATTTTTTGTTCTTGTCAGAAATTTTAATGTTTTTCCCCCTTTTTTCAGGTCAAACATGGCATCAGACATCGCATCACATATACCAAGGACGACGTTCGTATGGATAATCTTAGCAATAGCAAATGTAAGTTTATTGGTAGTAGTTTATTCATACTATCAACTTTATCTTACTTATTTAGAAATGATTTTTCAATCGCTGGATAACTTTTAACTGAAGATTAAGTTTGGTACATTGCCAGTTTCAGGATGGAAAATAAGTCAAAATGACAATTTTATGCTTCAGTTAAAAGATAGCCGACGATTAAGAAATCAGCCCTAGCCAAAAATGCGAAGTATCTCGTACATTGCCCAAAACTAGTGCCCAGATGCATGATTGAGCCATCAATCAGATATTAAATTGACTGTGAGCCATTGCCATAATAAAGAAAATATACTTGTAGGTATGAATTCCAAATTTGAATTCTAAAAACGAACGCAACCAAGCTCCGTCTGCAACAAAAAGCCGACCTAGAACAGCGTTGAGTAAGCAGAATCGAAACGCCGTCCTTGGCGAGGTCGGCATTCGAACCCGGCGAGATGGCGTTGTCACCTGTCGTTTGCTGCCATCGCTGATAGGGTTGCTCGATGATCGACAGTCTGACGATAATCGATATAATCATTTTGTGGCACCGAAAACTGAAATGTTTTCTCAGTTTGGACGGTTAGAACATGTAACATGAACATTTTTAGCTTACGTGATGACTTTTTTGCCGTAAGTGCCAAACTTTGGTCATATTTAATGAGGTTACCTTATTAATTTAATTTCAACATAGCTTATTAATTGCCCATTCTACGATATAAGTTCTTATCTTGCAATCATCAATAAAAAAAAACATTTTTAATTTTAGTTTTATCAATCAATGAAAATCATCAACATCTATAATTTATATTAATCCAATTAATTTCGTACAATATTTCACTGATCGATCGCAATCTTGATGGATGGCGAATAAAAATACTATTCTCGACTAATCCGCTTGTCTAATAACAATTCGTATTTTAATTCTAACTGATCCGCGATAAAGATCGGCTAATCCGTTGATCGATACGAAATCGGCATCCCTAACTCGATGCTTTCTTGTTTAGCGCGGTATCCGCTCCATTTGAGTGCGCACACGCGTCCGGTGGCACACATAGCGAACATATCGCACGCCCGCAACTGGACCGCGCGTATAAAAACAGACGGATAGGCAACGGTTTGACTTTGCAGAATACGACCATCTGGATTCTGGATGATTGCGATCGTGTTTTGTGACATTTAGCAATCGATCGTCATTTTTCGCGCTGCCGTGTTTGGATGGCGACTGAGAGCTTTTTTGTCGAGTTGCATAGATGACAGGGCAATCTACAAGCTTCCGTGCGTCTTTTTTTTCTAGCGTTTGCTTTCGTTTATTTTAACATACTATAATATACATTTATTTTTATCTACGAATCCAATCCAAAGTTACTTAAACCACCAACTGATTTTAATTGTAATTTGGAGCCTTTTCGTATGTAACTTATACCTAGTATAAGCCACTATTTTCATAATCATATCTTTGAGTGCAAAATTATAATCTTAATAATAATAACACCTGGAAGTCTAATTCCTGCTCTGCGATGGTTTATTTTATTTATAACTATAGTTTTGCTTCTTTGCTGCCTTTTAACCACTAATAAGCAGCTTTTTTCGAGCTTTAAGTTGTTTATGTGACGCTGATTTAGTAGAAACGTGGTCTTTTACTGGCATTTGATGTAGCACCTCTTCACGTCAGATTTACAGGGATACAACTACACGACAATATAGTTTTAAGCGTCGTAAAACATAAATCCTATCGTAACTCCTTGGCTAATAATAAATCATGCAACTGCATATACTAATAACTTGCTAGTGAGCCCAAGAGCTGTTAAATTTATAACGTGTCGGAAAATCATTAATCATTGTAGAATTTAGCTCCACAGTCGTCGACGGTTGTGTTAACAGTAATAAACTTTCTCTGATATACTCCTGAGCTTTAGCTCTTGCTTCATGATTCATGGTGATACCAATTTGAAGGTACAAAAGTGAAATCAAATAGCTTGTTTTGATACTTTTGTATCATAGGTAGAGTCGGTTTTCCTCATCGCTTTTGAATTATGTTCTCATTTTGACTCATAAGTTCATAGATTCAAAAGTAATGCCTATTGAGTAATCTTATCTGTTTAAATTTTTTGTAAATAATATTTTTTGTGTATAAGAAAATATCTGAAAGAAAATGAGGCAGCTTTTAATCGTCTTCCCTACAGTATACAAAACAATGTAAAATGTTGGCGAATATGCTAAAAGCTTACATGAAGTAAAACAAACTAGGCACTCACCTTTGCAAAAAAAATAAGTTTAAATGACTAAATTCAAATGTGCTTCATGCCCTCAGTGATAGTGCATTCAGATAACACAATAATCTTGAATAATACAACACCGGTCACGGAATACAGCGTTTGTACCGCTTCTAATTAACCCCAAAGGTCGCTGATAAAACAATCCTCCAGTATGGTATCAATTTGAGGGATTGGGGTCAGATTACACGACCCCTATTCACCCTTGACTCCTTAACAATGCTCTATAACAGTCTTTGGATATACCAATTTGTGATGCAGTGAAATTAGCTGGAAAATTACTTTTGTTACTGCGTTGGTTGGTTATTATTCATATTCTTAGGGCTTGGTACTATGGTAAAAGCATATTCAGTTTCTGCAAGTATTTAAAAGGTTAAATAAAAGTTCACATAAATACAGAATTAAGAGTCTAAACAAGCGACTTATTTTAACTTTATCAAAAGTTAAATCTCATCTTAAAGACTCATCATCATCATCATTTCAGCCATAGGACGTCCACTTCTGAACATAGGCCTCCCCCAATGATTTCCACAATGGTCCGGTTGGTGACGATGGTGGTCGTAAAGACTAATTCTTCTAAACACTATAGCCAAAACACTTACTCATGCGCATTGAAGGAAAACCACAATTCATGTAGAGACGATGGCACCTCAAGCATTACACTTTAGTCATAAGCTTTTGTAATAAAAGTGATTTTCCAACAACAAAGTACATCTTACATCGTACCATCGACTCAATTATCTCTGGCTAATTACAGCGGAGGAGTTTGGAATTCCAGAGGCTTCCGACTAATCGGCAGCGACGTGACTTCCTAGCCGGATTGCAAGATTTGTACAGTGACAGTCTAAAGGATTGTTAGATTTGTCGGTCTAGTCAGTTAGTCCGGGCTGCGTGGATTGATGGATGGTGCAGTTATCTCAAAAAGGCTACCTAAATCTTTTTGCTACAGCTATTTTTTTTTATGCATAACAAGGCAGGTATTTGACCACAATCGCACCTGATGTTAAGTGGTTATAGATTTTAAGAGCTACGTTGAAGGTTTGTCTCCGCTTTTTGAGCTGATGAGATTTTACTGAATTTTTGAACGAGATTTCTCAATATAAGCCCATAAATTAGATAATCGTGAATAGCAATGCATGTCTTCAGTTGTGTTATGACCTAAAGAAATGGGTTACTCGTATTTGTTCGCAAAGTGAAATGATGTGAAGATAATTAATTATTCGTAGTTTTATCACAATGTATTGTTGTAATAGAATTTCATCATAACCACTTTTTGATTGAAGATATTACACGATTATCTTTGTTTGTCTAACGTACTACAAAGATTTTTAGTAGTACCTATTGAATGCTGTATAAGTCATTTAGAATTCGCAGCACATACCTGTAGCTGCTCCACTGAAAACTGTATCAAGTAAGCTATAAGACAGCGCTACTTTGGTCGGCTCATCGGAATTCAGAATGCGTACACTAGCGCTTATTCCGCAGATAAAACACAGATGATATCAACCGAGACTGCATAATGCAGAGAGAAGCTGGCATTACCATATATCTATTCCAATTTGTGGCACGGAGTGACGTTAACAATACTACGAATTTATATCCAACAATTTACTCCCTGAATCAATACGGTACTGAATGTGTAAACGTACTTAGAAACTCACTTTGCATCAGGCTCTCAGCCTTTTGAACTTTCCATCACCGTATATCTTCAGAATCACCGGTTGTTAGCACATTTCGCTTCAAGGTCACTAGTTTGTAGTTTTCGAATGCAGCAGGACTGCAATTTGCTGTGCATTCCGCATGAATAATGCAGCAGGATTTGTTCTAGCCGACAATAAGATACGTCGCGTGTTTACGTGATACGAATGTTGGATTCGTAACGGTCTCAAATTTGCCCATCGACGGATTCTGATGAATATTCCGATATCATCGTGACGCCTTGTCGTGGAATGCTAACGGTCGGAACACTTCGACAATGCATCGACGCATCGGTTCGGTTTCAGCCATCGAAAGTAATATCAATCCGGTTTGCGAAGATCTGATTTGCATCGGGGCGGCTTACGCGGTTTAATTACTGGTAAACACAAACACACGATGCGCGGGCGCGGTCTTGATGACTTGTGGTCATGGCTGCGACGTACGTCCATCAATAATACATGACTTAATCATCTTTCATACGTTTCAAAATTGACGAAGTCATTTCAATTGTTGGATTTTTCATTTATAATTAATTATTAATTCAATGCTGGGTTGCTGCACCGCACTGCACAATATCTTTAATGTATTTATTTGTTTTTATCTCTACTCTGTTTCTTAAATAATACTTAATTTTACTTTGACCATGATTATGGAAACTCATTTATCAATACTGTGTGCCTACCATGAGTTTACGTTAGGTGCGCTCGCTAGCGACTGCGTAAAAAAATGACATTTAAATGTATGACATATTGTGCAGCGCCCCTAGTGGCTACTTTCAAGAAATAAAATCTTCATAGAATTTCTTGACGTATTCGCTAGCGAGCTCACCTAACGTAAACTCATGGTAGGCACACTGATCTGTTGGCGAATGTTTTTTGAAGTTACAGGTAGGTGACATATCTATCTCAACACATGAGCCAAATTTGAAGTGTTAATGCACAGTACTTTTCAACCGACTTCAAAAAAAAGGAGGAGGTTCTCAATTCGACCCGTATGTTTTTGAGTGATAAGGAGTCAAAAGTGGCTCCAATTGGTTC